GACCAAGGCATTGATGCCAAATACCAAATTTATCTTGATCATGTGGAAACTCAACAAATGTAGCCACTTCAATTCTAATTACCTTCTTACACTTGATAAAGTAGAAGTTGCCATCTCTAAAGCCTTTAGTAACATCATCTCTATCCAATTTCTTTATAAAGCATCTATTTTTATCAAATTATACTTTATAATTATGTAAAATTAATTTATTCAATAAAAAGAGGTTTTTATTGATTTTGAGTACATATAAGACATCCATCAATATGATCTTCTTTGTTTGTCTTTTCACAAAAATCTCCACAATAATGGAGTCCATTCAAATGACTTATAACATGCTATTGTCTTCTATAAAAATATTTGTTATTAAAATATCTTTATAAATACTAAATAAACACTTGTATGGAATTATATGCTTGATGGAAACTAAATTAATAATCCACTTGGATTTGGAGTCATAGAAGTGCCTTTACTTGCTATGAATGTAAAATCATCTCCTCTAAATTATTCATATACATTGTTGGTACTTTTATTATTTTTTTTGTCTTGTAGCAATTTTGTCTAAAATGACCTGATTCTCTATAAATGAAGTAGGTTCTTATATTGCTACATTGATTAGAATAGTTTCTTTTGCCTTTTTTTAAAATGAAAATTGAATCTTTACTTTGAGGTTTTTTTTTTTTTTCTTGATTATTTCTTAAGCAAATCTTGTTGTCACATAGTCCATTATAAGTTCTTTTAACTTAATAGACTTCAATACCACAATGAGATAGTTGTAGGACTTAAGAAGGCTCATAAGCAAGGTTATGATAATATCACCTTATTCTAAAGGCTTGCCAACAACTGCTAGTTGGTTTGCAAGAGCCTTTATCTTATTGACATGAGCCATGAGGTCTTCACCTTCTTCCATCTTACAAATAAAGAATTTCTTTCTTGTGAAGATTATCTTGGATAAGTTCTTGCTCTCATATATATTGCAAAGAGTCTTCCTTTCTTTTTTTGGTCTTTTATAAGAGATGATGTAAGAAAAGTTGGCTTTAACCAAATTGGTGGCAATTATACCAAAATACTTTTTTTTGTATATCTTTTGAAGTCTTTTTTTTCTTTATCAATTGTGTGTATGCTAAGAAGCTCTTTACTTTCATCTACAATGTCTCAAATCCAAAGATACTAATAAAAGCTCTATTTTGAACTTCCAATAGTAGAATTTTTTTTTTCTAAACTTTTTAATTACTTTTAAACCTTCACCCTTATTAAAAGCCATGTCTAAAAAGAGATCTATAAAAAAATATCAAGAAAAAGAGTCTTCATGTGCTCAAAATCACAAAGATAATTTCATCCTAGAAAAATCTCAAAATGCCCTCTTGTGAATAATTGAATGCTTTCTCTATCAAAATAATCTCAATTCAAGTTCTAAAGCTTCTAACAAGTATGTGCACTCCAATGAACCTTATGATTAAAACCTTTCACTCTTTTCAAGCAATTATTTTACAATATATACAAGATAAGTGCAATAACTTTAATAATACAAATAGATACTATGAAGGCCTTTGTATAAGATTTTAGACTTTTAATCCTAGGAGTTAAGAACCCATAAAGCAATGTTAGAGATTTATAAGATCAAAATCAGCATGTCTTCATGCCAAAAAAAAAGATTAGATCTTATAAATCTAATCATTAGTTTATACCACAAGATCATTTTTATACAAGTACAACTACTAGAGAATGATATCAACTTACTTGAATAATACAACAAAGTATATATAGGCCTATAACCTATTGAAAAAATATAACAAGCAAAACATAAGTAAGTAAAAATCAAGAATATTGCATACAAGAAAAATGTGGAATGAAATGCCTCTCACTTCCAACACCTTTGATTTATAGGAGGAGTTTTGTGAGTCATCAAATCGACTCATTAGTTATTTTAGAACAAAAAAATACATTTGAAATCCTTAAAATTATAATATATGGTGAATAGTATAGAAATCCTTAGACAAATAGAAAATTAAATTATTAATTGTAGAAATAAAGTCTTAATAAGTATTGGAGGTAATTATCTTAGTTTGTTTAATATTTTTACTTATTATTGAGTATTAAGGATTATTTATTAAGATAAATATTTAAATTGGCTTTATATTTATATATATTATATATAAAAAAAATACAAATTTTAGTTAGTAGTTAAAAAAAGCATGAAAAAGAACCTCATGTCTTTTTAATTAATTATATAAAAAGTAAAATTTATAGTAGATTCAAATTGATTTTATTACTATAAAAAATTATCAAGATAGAAAATTATTTTTTAAATTAAAATTGATATTATAGAAATATTATAGGATTTTTTAGAATTTATTTAAAATTTATTTAGAAAATTTTAAGCACTTTTAGAGCAATTTTCAAGACTTTGGTAAAAATGAGTTTTACCACTTTGGGAGCCATTATGAAGAAATGGAAGAAGATTTGAAAGCCACACAAGATTCCTAGATTAATTAGATATTTTTAAATACCATGGTCAAGTAAAAAATGTAAAAATATTGGTTTTACTAGTAGAAAATAGGAAGACCAATAGCTAGTGTAATCCTTATAAAAAGAGATGTGCATAAGTCCCATATGAATTGTAGCACCTTAAAGGTAATTAAGAGGATAAGACTAAGACCTTGTGGCCTCTCTTAGAAACTCATATATAATACTTGTGAGCCTTGGTGATGCTCGAACTCTTGATCTCTTAAGTAAGTTATCTTTAAGGTAAAAATCATTTATTTAACTTTTTATTTATTTACTTGTTAGTTTTAAACCTTCATAATTTATTCACAATAATATAGATTTATATTTTTTTACACCATTGAGAGGATAAAAAAATTATGTTTTTAAAAATAGATTTTTTACTTTTACTTTTTATATTTTATTAGGTAAAAACTCAATAAATAGACTATAACTAATTTTATAGTGTATAATTGCTTAGTTGCACTTGTTTCACTTATTTTGTGTTATACTTCTTTTGTTCTTATTTTTGCTACTTCCACTTTACACCACCAATTATAACCAACTCATAATTGAGGCTATCTTATAGTTTAGATTGAAGGATAAAATTTACCTTCATAAGTTTATATCTATTATAGTTGAACTTCATCTATGTTCATCCATCTTTGCTTCATTCAACTTAATCCTAAATTCTTCCTAATTTAGCTGCTACATTAATAACTTATCTTATTCTTTTATTATTTTTTTATTATTAATAATTTACCTAAGATAATTTTATCTTATTTTTACTTTAAGAAATTATTTATTAGTTGCCAATAATCCTATTGTGTGATACATACAATAGATTAATGTATAGCTATTATTCTTTTTTGTAGAAATTCACCTTATCCTTTATCTTAGGATGCACTAGACATCTTTTTCTTACAACCCTCAAACTTGATTTTTTTTGTTATGATAAAGTCAATAATTTTTTTTAAAGACTTGGTCAAAATCCACTCAAATAAATGAAGCTTTGATTAAAAACCACTTAAAGAAACTAAAATTCTAGTCAAAACCTTGTCCTCTATACTCACAAAATTTTGCTATGAATGAAAGATAGATGAGACATACAAGGGATGAATGCAAAAACTTCCTACAAAAATAAAAAAATATGAGAAGGGAGAGTTCAAAAACAAGAACTAGCTACTGCAATTAACTATATAATGAAGATGCAATCAACTCCTGCATTCTTTATAATGTCATTGCAAAATTGAGTATTGAAGAGTAGAATATATAACTAAAACCAAATATTTACATTTAAAAATTTCTAAGTATATATATGTATATACATATGTAACAAAAATATTATTTTCAATACATTATCACTAAAAACTAAAAATATAAAATTTTAAAAAGTCTCATATTACAATATAATTTATCAAATCTTTCATTAGTTCATAATAATTTATAGCATCATTGAAGGTTTTTATTTTTATTTATTTATGTATTATATATATGTACATATACATATACATATTTAGACATATTTATCTAAATTTTTTAATAATAAATATTATTACATTTGATAAAGTTTTTAAAACATAAATAACATAATTTCAGATTTAGAAATGTAGTAATTTGCAGCTGCAATAGAATTCAAAATACAAAAAAATGTTAATCTGCAAAAACTCTTAGTTGAATTATTTTACTCTTCAAAAATTATAAATCATAGATGGCAAGGATTCTCTTAAATTTAAATTTTTTATTATTATTTTGAAAACATAATCACAAATCTAGCTCAATAATAAGTAATTTATAACTGGCTAGATATTTTGTCATTGAGAAAATTTGATTCATCAATTATACTAAATTAAAATTTGGTATAACTTCAGGAAGTCTTTTTAAAATTTTTAAATGTATAAATTATAAGACTAAATTAAAAATTTCTTTTTGTGGAAAATATCACAAAGTTGTAACAAAGACAAGTATGAGACATCTAAAAAATTTATACATAATATCTTATAATTAAACATCGATGTGGCTTAATTAAATCTACAATAGAACTTTTTAAATGTAAGATATTTCAAATTTATATACAGATACATATATTAATTTTTTTAAACTAATAATATACAAATAATGTACATTTGTATTTTTCTTTTTATTTTAGCCATTACTACTTATTACTATATTTAGTTACCTTTAATCTATATATTATTTAGTTCTAGATGGCTTTATGATTTTACCAAACTATAATCCAGGTTATTATCTAGTTTTTTATTGCCTATATTCAATATGCAGTTAAAATACATTGCATACCTCTATGCAACTTTATAATGTATATTTTCTTGTATTGATTGAATATTAGGAAATTGGACTTAACTTCTTCAACAATGTAATGTGTTTTTATAAATCAATTTTTATATCATAAACTTGTACTATAAGAATTCAATAACAGCACTTGTTGCAAAGAACTAATTTTTGTATCTCACTTAAAGTCATTAATTTTTTTTTGTGGTTAGATAATGAATGCACATTTATTAGCATTAGTAAACTTCTACCTTAGAAATACACTTCTTAACGTTATTTATACGATTTGTATAATTGTGCATGCTCAAGCACTCAATTTACTTAATTTACAATTATAATAGAGTTCATGAATGACCTCAACTTACTATGCTGTAAGAATTTTGTGCAGGCGGAGACACCGCCAACTGCAGCAATCTCTGTCCCTGCAGAACCAAAAATCAAAACCCAGAAACCCATTTGGACGCGTCAGATATGTTTGGTTCAGGGTTTAAGTCTAAAGTCTGGAGCAGCATCCAGATTCAGAGACAATGCTCACATTCTAAGTATCAACGTACCATAGCATAGGAATGCGTGACGAATGGCGCGTTTACTAGATTCAGTTCGATGGTGGTCGGAGTTGTTGCTTTCACGACGGCTGTGAAGTCGTCTCCATACCCCAGGCCTCCAGGAGCTTTCTTGAGGTAAACCTGCGTGGCGCCGAAATATGGAGGAGAGAAAGTCTCGATGCGCAACTCGGTTGGTTGATATCCTGTGAACGTGTAGAATTGGTGCGTGTTGCTCCCCGCCGGCAAGATTCGACCGTCTTGCAGCAAATTCGCAGTGGAGTGGTAAACCCGAGGGATGTTCGTCCCAGTTAAAGTTGAAAATCGGGTTCCAGGGGCGTTGTAAGGGTTGTACAAATTGGGTGCCTGCACAGGATTTGTGGCGCCACCCCATCCTTGCGCGCCATTTCCAGCTCCATTGATGATGAGCACATCACGTGTGGGCAGGATGACCATGTCCCCCATCGTTCGCTTTTGGGGCATGTCCTCCATTGCCCATCCTGCTCCTTCCACCAGAGGTGCGATTCGGCCACATGTTTGCGATGTACCCACGCCTGTGTTGCCGCTCAGGTACGCGCCGTATGCTGCACCGCCGCACACCACGACCTCAGGATTACTGAAGCCACCAGCTGCAGGGAGGGGTAGAAGCACAGACGTGTAGTTGCGAGGCTCCCAGCAGACGGGTAGTTGCGAGGCTATCCCGGGATGGTAGGGAAATCCTTGACTACGGTGTTACTCTGCCAGTCATAGAGAATAGAGTCGCGATTTGCGAATATAAAGAGCTGATTGTTGGGTAGCAGGTGCACGAAAGGGTACAGGTTGTCCATCTCTGCATCATTTGTCTGCATTGAGATGACTCATCGTTATTTAATAACGCGAGTACACCAAAAATATGCCAGGATTATGACTCATTTCTACCTCTTGAGTTGTATGATAAATTGGCAACCTTGTGAAAAATCTCAGTACAGATATTGCAGGAGCAAGAGAATGTGCATATGATTTGACAAAATCCCTATGGGGTTTGGGCATTTTTGGTTGGTTCTTCGCAAGCAAGGATAATATTTCTACCAAATTTCAGACTGAGGATTGCTATCTATACGCCACATTGCTCAGCAGGCGAAGATTCTTAGTTATCTTATAAGAAAGCAACGTCTATAAAAACCTCTGTGAAAGCTTCCAGCCGAGAACTTCAGTAAAATACTGCAAGCGAGACATGTGAACAATAGGAATGCCATGTTCATCACTAAAGAACATTTTTGAAGTAGTGAGGACGATCTTAGTACCTTGACAAGGAGGTCGAGGTTGTAGGTGCCGCGGCGGTTTGCAGGAACGTACTCAACTGTGGTGACGCTGCGACCCCCCACGATGATCTGCGTTCCGTCTGGAAGAATTTGGTTTGAGGCGTACCATCGCCCATTCTGTAGCTGTGTTTCGCTCTCAACCCAGTCGCATTTACCATCACCGCATGGAGCAAAGGTCCGAATCTGCAAATCCAACAAATTCAATCCACAGAACTTGGTGTTGTCACTGAAGTAGTGCATCGCTGTCAACTGAAAATTCCACTAGGAATTATCAAGCCCGAGTCATCAAGGCTAAGAGCTAGAAAGGAGACATGAAAGAGGACCAGCTGGCCCAGGTACAACAATTTGAAAGATGCTTTTTGCCCAAGCACAAATTACAGACAACCCAGCCAGCCAAAGATTTAAAAGTCTAAGAAATGGCTTACAGGCCACTATCACACCCAGTTGTTCAATTGATTAGTTTTTATCTTCAATCGACCAAGCGAGTGCGATGTTTAATCTCTGGCTGACGTAACATTTTGCTTCAGTTGCAATGTGTTACATCCTTAAAGCTCGGCAATGATTAACAGTGCCATTGCCTGAGATCAAGAGTATCAGCAGGTTCTGAGTAGCTCAAGGCATTTCAACAACCTCGACTCAGGTACCCCTTCTCAAAAAGTCGATGGATAAAATAAAACTAAAAAAATTCACTGAGGTTGATGCGAAGAAATTGGTTTCATCTAAGCCCAGATGGGTACGTACCGATTCATAGTTTTCAAGTTGGATCATTCTCTGCTTTCAAGATCTCGGATATAAGTGAACAAGCTCTGGTCTTCTCATCTCCCTGTTGCAGAAGTGCACATGCAGAGAACGTGTGGCAATGCAGCAACCAGGCAGCGTGAACCGCAAAATATTTCACAGTTGGAAGTGAGCGTGTAAAAGAGCAACATCTTCAATAGTATTTGGAACGATGAGATCAGACGCTGCAGAGGATGAGCAGAAGTGCATGTGATTGTACAATGGCAGAAAGTGGAGAGATGTAATTGGCCTCTATGATCCGATCTCCTACAGCATGCAAATTATAGAGGCTCAGGCTTCCTGTCAACGTCACAACAAAGGCAACGGTTAGTGTAAACTTATTGTTGTCTGCCTCAACATTTCACTACACTATCTACAGTAGCCTAACTCAATATCCAATCGATGTTTAATGAATAGCATTCCATTATTCTGTAAAGTGTGTTGACATTGAATGTGTACCCGATAACATTAAAATACATCTCTTGAGATATTCGTTAGATGATGTTTTTACTACAGCATCAATACATCATCAATACTTGACAAACGAACTTGAAGTTACAGTTTAGATTAGGTTTGAAACTTGATATTTGGAACAATTTCTTGATTGACCTCTTAAAATTCCCAAAATGAAGGATTCTGTCTAGGTTGGCTGTATAATGATATACAGATACTTCATGCTGTACATGTTACGACAAGTTTCTGTCAAACTGAACAGATTGAAGAGGAAGAAAAACGAATAATGATAACAATTATTGATATTTTACATCAGTCATTGCCGATGCTCTTATGCTTGATTATCCTCTCTAACATGGATAGTTTTTATACATTCACATAACTCTAAATGGATGCTGGCAATCTGGTCATATGAAATCTCACCTCTCATGATCTAGCCCCAAAACAGTAAAGCTTGGGTCAGGAAATGCATTGGAGGGACTGATTAGCTATGTTTGACCGATTACACCTCACATGAACGGCGTCTTATATATCACTGGAATTTTGAATAACACTTTTTCTCGTCCTCACTGTCCTCCATTAAACCTATATCTGTGGTTCCTTGTTTCAGAAGAGTTCCTGATCAGGCAGCAAGTCGGTGTCCACATATTGGTGGTGTTTTTCTGCGTTGAAGTCCGGGTGAGTGAGTGTGGATGATCGTCTTGTAAGGTTTTGGAGTGGGTGCACGAGACTGTGGCAGCCCAGGAGAGCACACTTCCGGCAACGGGGTTGAAGAGGTTGACTTGCACTGCTCTGAGTCAGGTGCTCCCTGGGAAATATATTTCTCAAGCACAATCGCCTCCATCCTCTTCTCGTCTGCGAGAGCTTCCGCATCCAAAGTCCCTGCCAGGAAGCTCTTCAACAAGGACTTTCGAAGTGCATAGCATCCAATGCCATCGCACGGCACAAAATCCGGGTGATTACGTGTAATCCTCGCGATTTGTACAGTTTTAGCTTTGTCTTTCAGGCCAGGCAGGCCTTGCATTTTCAGTCTACTAGCAGCTTCTTGAATGGAGAGCCCTCCAAATCCAGCACCGGCGTATACCAGTATCAAGGAATGCAGCAGAGTTGCTGTATCCTTAGGATCAACTTCTGCTTGACCTCCAGCGGAACTGTTATATACGCAGAGGACACTTTAAGTTCAGAATTCACGGAACAAAGATCTATCGTCATCTAGACATTCAGAAACTTGTTGACTATAAATAGCAAGAGTACCAGCGAAGAGATGGAGTGTAAACTGCTGTAGATAAGTGGATGCAACCCATGGATGACATTTCATTTTACCTTTCAGTGAAGCAGACCCTGCTTGACCTTCTAAAATAAGGCTTAGAAGCGTCAGAGCTGTCCTATACATTGATAGGCATGAGCGTGGTGGAAAAATCCTAGCTTTTTGAGAAAATATAAAATTGAATGAATATTTTACTCTGCTTTGGTAAATTGCTTGAAACTTTGACACAAGAAATCAGTCGCTAAATCATCTCTGCAGACAAAAGAACATAGTTATGTTGTAATATATGGCTTCTAAAACTTACTGTTCAATGGAAATATCTGGTTGAACTTCAAATTCTGGCTGTTCAGGGGACATCGCTGGTCGCTGAACTTTACAGTCTTCAGAAGGTGAAGATTCTAGTTCCCAATTAAAATTCTTTTGAAAGGAATTGATGTCAGTGGCAGTTTCTGCATATTGAATCTCCATCTTATCAATGTGCTCCGCCAAGGACATGTCCAAAATTGTTAACCCCTGAAATTGTGGAGTCGTAATCTCAACAACCACCCTCCGACATTCTGTTAAATGTAGGTCCTGCTCCAAACAAACCCATCACAGCTGAATCAACTGGGTGGATCTCAATGGGTTCAAGCAGCTCACACTAGGATTTAGAACTTAACAAGAGATGGTTGCAGAAAGTTTCTAAATCAAATAACCCACTCATCGTTTATCTGCCACAAGCAACAGTTTCCATAAGCACAGGACCAAGTATATGATCTAAAATGCTCTTAAATTGAAGATTTTTCATTGAAAATTCATATCAGATTTTAAACACACAGTATTTATAATTCTAGAGAACATACGCATTGAAGACAAAGAAAAAATTCATAGGTTAAGAATCACTAACTGGAGGATGATCCTTCTCTACTGCCAACTTTGCAACTGCATTCAGAAGCTTAATACCTGTCCCCCCAGTGAACTCTTAAGTTCAGCTGCAAATCCCATCGTGGAGAAGCATGCTACAAGGGTCAAACTGACTTGTAATATTTCATAGTTGGATGAAGGGCAAGTGCTTATGTAGGATGAGTCTACCAAGTCTCACCTTCAGAGAAATTTATGGCTTGAAATGTTCTGGATATGGATCTTTTGTCAGGTGATAGGTTCCAGTTGGACAGAAGCTTCAACCGTTTTCCCAAATCTTCATCGGAAAGCTGTTCCGGCCACTCATGTTTTCCTTGCATTCCTGGAAAACCTCCTTTTGTACCTTGTTCGGCTAATTGGCATATTCCTGACATAAGCTTACTCCCTGGATTGTTGATGTCTGCGAGTGGCAATGGTGTCCTCAGCAGCAAAGGGCAGAAACCTGGAGGTCAATACATATCCTAATACATGAGCACCATTCGACTAGCATTTTCGTGTCACCAACTGAGAACACTGACTGAAAGTTGAATTTCATCACGACTTACATAAAACACAGTGAATTATCCATTCGAAGTTTTAAAAAGGTAAGTTTAACTATCAGCGAAAATTGCTCAAGTCTTTTTAAATACCAGCATTGAGGGCTTGCATAACATACCTGACGCATTTTCATCTTCAGTCTGCAGCACTGCTTTAATCCTGCAAGATTTGTAACGTGCAGAACACTAAACAGTCAGTGCACAACTGTAACAGTAAGAGTGAGCCTCAAAACCCCCGATGAGTAGCACCATTCAGCTGAACAGTGTATTGCTACATGCCACGTCAGAGTCCAGATACATGATCTACTACTGAAAGTGCCGATATGTTGATGCCCCATTCTTCGCAGCCGGTATTCACAGAACAAGACCATCATGGCCACAACTATGGAAGAACAACATGGAATGTTATATCACATCGATGCAATGCACATCACGCCGATTATTAAGGCGTTGTCAAGAACATTACATGCTTGGGTTTCCCTTTAACCATTTGGAGGAGTACAACACATTACTCTCGTCGATCTGTTTTGCTAAGTTGAAGTCCTGAATGGTTAAACCCTTCACAGCCGCAGTCGATAACACCAGATTGATGGTCCTAGAGTCTGTCAAGTGCAACTCCTGGATAGATTCTTATGTCAGTGTGTTCCTGTAACCAGATTATTCTAGATTACTTCATAGAAAGTTGACTACGAAGTAATAATATGTCCTTTCCTTCCGATACGGACCACTATCTCCCCCTTTTTTAGGATCTATCAATGCTAGTTACAATTAAAATTTCAGAGCTAGCATAGTTAATGGATTTTGATGGAAACAAGGGCAGACGGTGAATACTTCTGTAAAACATCAGGACAATTCCCAGCTGAGTTCTTGCTGATCAAGGTACAGATAAAGATCATGATATAAATTCCAGTTCTCAAAGGAATCACATCTAAATAAATACATATGGAGAATGAGTTAGCACCCATCTTACCGGATGGTGCCCACCTTCCACATCAGCATGCTGGGCAACCTGGTTGAAAAAATTCAGACCTGAAAATAGATGAAAGTATCATGAGAACATTGCGCACAGAACCAAAAATGTCTACTCAAGGTGTCATTAAGCAGATTGTCATACTGCCAGACAGGAATCTGAGACCAGATGATTTCACATCTTCCCGAATGAACGCTGGTTTGTAGTAAACCAGGAAAATCAGAGTTCATGCAATCCTAACACTGAAATGATAAGTCAGCCCTACACGTAGTGTCACCAAATACAACTGCGCAACTCTCCCCCCTCGTCATATTTCAAACAGGTATGACCAAGTTTTAGAAACTCTTCACGTTTTCTCAGATGAAACGAGCAGAACCTCTACACAGTAACCAGAACCACCCTCTGCAAAGTTTTTGGCCACGAAAGTCCTGGAAATGCTTCTCGAGTCAGGAGCCAGCTCCCACAGTGGAAATTCCCCCATCCTTTGCTGACATTCTCCCTCAGATAACTGCAGTACCAGGTCGAATACACCGTTAGGATCTCGTTTTTCTGGTCACCGAACGTTGATTATTTCTGGTCAATATCTTGACATGAATGCAGGGAAGGGGTTCTGAATGGAATGTCCTTCGTCGCCACTTCCAAATTTAGACTGTCAATGCTATCATCGGTGGTTATTCCACCTGCATGTATCCCTACTGCACTGTGTAGCAACACGAGGAACTAAGCCGTAGAGCTGCAGAATAAAGCCACAGCCAATTCACTTTAAACTCAGGGAATGTTTTCCAGTTAGAATCAAATCCCCATTTGGCGACAGCGATCAAATGCAATGTGAGTGAACCTGAGTGCCCAAGTCACTTATCATGATGCCGGCCTGTGAATCCAAGGCATCTATCATTCAAAGCTTGGTGGAGCAATAACTGCAGCTGGGCAATTTTGATTCCAGGTCGACGAGGTCTGAGCTAAGAATTTAGGAACTGAACCAGTGTGGCTGCTCCATTCTCCCTACAACTTTTAGATGTCAACGCCTTTTCACAAAACCACCTTTGGATTCCCGAACGCTTCTGTCGATTCCTCACTAATTCAAGTACAAATGATAACCGGAGATAGTACTTTTTACAATTGCCTGAATGAATACACACTCTCTACCTGCATATACTTTCAGCAACGAGCATATGTCGGTAACTACAGTGAAGAAGGATCGCTTTCGATGTACAACCTTGTTCTTCTCAATAGACATTACCTCAATCAACCTCATTGGCGAAGATGGCCCCCTGTTAGTGATGAATCGTAAAAAAGTTCGATGAGTCACGGTTGTCTCTGCCACTGAAACGAAGGACAACTTTGTTCAGGCCAAACAGCTGACATGCGAGCATGAGGTTGTGCTTCATCCGTTGTCCTTCAGTAGCATGACCGTAACTGCAAGACACTGCTGTACGATGAACTCAGATTGAAATGATTGAAGCTTCATGAAAACACATTTACTCAACAAATTTTATACGACACGGACACCTACTCTTCCATTTCAGGTCTCGTATTTTCAAATCAGCTCAAACTTTTAGCCGAGGGTGCTGCGTGGGGATTTCGACAGCCTCACATCGGCGTTCATGTTTACTTCAAAGTTCACGTTCTATTGTAGTCAGGAGTTAATTTTCACCAGCTAAAGTTTACCATTTTCACCTCAGCTGCAACAATTAGGGACATGTAGAGGAATTGGTTCTCAACATTCTCTCACCGAGGAAAGGGGGATGCATCACTCTGAAGAAAAGATGTACAGAAATGGTTGCAATTATCAATTGAAAAAAATGCAAGATAATTCAATCGGATGCTGGCTGGCCTCCTACTCCAACCTAAATGCTAAACTTCTAGCACCAGTACTTCCTTCTTCAATCATTGAATTACTCTCAAATTTCATCAAATTCTTGAAAATTGAGTCTAGCATCTATACAAAAAAATTTCACTTCAATCCAATTGACAAATTGCCAAAGAACTTAAAAACCTTCAAACTCCAATTTTTGAGATCTCAATCCACAAAATCCTTTATACATTTTGATCTTACTGTTCGATTGATCTCAAAATTTGCACACTTATTCAAAACTAGCACACCAATACATTGCCCAAAATTCACCTATATGTACACTACAAAATTCAAGAAATTTCAAGTCTTTCTAGTCTTCTTTTCTTTTGCAATAGCTAATCTAGTTTAATACTATATCATCATTGAGTGACTTTTTAGTTCTTTTGATTGACAGAAGAGTGTATTGAAGATTTCTTTCTTTGAAATTCATATCCTTGATAATCACATGTAATAATTCATTTTTTGAAAGGTGTTAAAAATAAAATTTTACTTTAAAAGAGACAAATCAAGTAACGCAACTATTTATAAATCTTTAGAAATCTATTTATTAAGACTCAAAGTTTCATAGATTGATATAACTAAATTCAAATAATTAATACTAAAAAAAACTATATTATTATAAAAATTTATATTTATATCAAATTAATTAGATTTAAGATACAAAAAAAATCAAACATAAATAAGTTAAAACTAAAATATCTAATTTTAGTAAAAATCTTGCAATACAATAACTTTGCACTATAATTATTAAACACATATCTCATGTTGCCATTAGATTATACATCTTATTTTATATTTTATGTAATTATTATTACTTTAAATTATACTACTAATTAGAAAAAAAATATCATTTGAAATTTGATCCAAATATCAAGAAATTATCTTAATTCTTAATTAATGAAAGAAATACATTTGTGTAAGTTACAAATATATATATATATATATATATATATATATCATTTATGTAATATCAAATTTTTATTTGAATAAAGTTTTAAATAAAATCCTAAAGATGTATATAAAATATTAAGATAATTTTAAAAAATAATACTAATATATTACTAAAATAATAATTTTTTGAATATATTTTAGAAAGATCTATTTTAACAAAATTTATCAAAAATTGGAATAATTATTTTATTTCTTAAAATAAAAAAACCATAAGAAGTTAGTAATCTTTTCAAACTATTAAAAACATAAATTAAGATAATACACTAATAAAATAATACACTCTTATATCATTGAAAGACATAAAATAAAATATAAAAAATAGGTATTAGATAGAAAGAAACTAAAATGACTATTAATAATTATAAAGAACTTAAAGAAGCTTGAATTAATAGTATAGTATATAAAATGTACTAATAAGATTGAAAAAGACATCAATTTTATTTTTATATATACTAATTATTAAAAAGGCCTTATAGAAGCTTCCTCTAGGTTGCATAGCTTGTCATATAAGTATCAAGTTATAGATTTCATCTAATACATCTTTTTAGAAATAAAAAAATTTATTGAATAAATTTTTACTAGCTATATATGTTAGGGACATAATCCTTAGAACCTTCTAGAGACAAGTTTCTAGAACCTTTTAGAGACAAGTTTCTAGAACCTTCTAAAAACAAGTCTTTGGAATCTTTTAGAAGCTTCCTAGTTGATAGAAGTTGCTTGAGAAGCTTCCTAAATAAAAGTATATATTGGAATCGAGGCTGAAGAGTTCTTCAGTCTCGACAACACATCTCTTAGAACTCTAGCTCACCTCTCTGGTGTTGTTCTCATCTGATTAATCTAGTTCTTGCCAATTCTTCTTGAACTTCTTGTTAGATCTCGAGTTTGTATTTCTGTATCCATGACAGTTTGTCGAGACTACACTCACCTCAGATATCAGAGCTAGTTTCTTCTTTGTTAGAGTGTAGATTACCCCTCTGCTTGGAAGTGTATTAGCATTTTAGAAGTTGCGGATTACCCTCCTCTAAATTGATACTTCTTTTGTTACAATATTGGAGTCTTATTCTTCTTGGAGAGAGTGGATTACTCCTTTTCTTGAAGCTCTTAAGGCATTTTAGAGGTTGTGGAGTATCCTCCTCTAAACCAATATTGTCTTCTTGTAGAGTCATTTTTGTCCTTCTCTTAAAATGGCCGGGGGCCAAAACATTAGTATGATGGAAAGTTCGGAGTCCAAGTTGGATGCTATCATGAATGCCCTCGCTATGTTATCGCAAAGAACTGCAGAGATTGAAGGAGTCGTGGCAAGGCTTCATAATGATGGAGCATCTGGGATGGCACAATCTAGGTTGCACCAGCCTCAAATTTCTGCACTTGGAGAAGCAACTCTGCCTCAGGTTCGACAAGCACCGCTGATTCTATAACATAAGGAGCCCCGAGGTAGTCTTCCAGACAAGTTCGATGGTACGTATTCTAAGTTTCGAGGATTCGTCAACCAAATCAGGTTGATAACAGTTTTACAGCCCGAACGCTATCCAATGGAGGAGTCACGTGTTGGGCTTGTTGGAACCTTACTTACAAGATAAGCTCTATCATGGTTTGCTCTTTTGTTTGAGAAACGATCATCCATACTAAATAACTTTGAAACCTTTTTGGAGGTATTTGCGAAAGCATTTGGTGAACACGACAAGGTTCAATGGGCTACAACAAAGATCCGATCACTACGACAAGGGATGCGCTCTACATGAGTCTATGCATCGGACTTCAGGCAATTAGCATGCGACATCAATTGGGACAAAGAAGCGTTGGTGAGTCAATTCTATTGGGGTTTAAGGGATGATGTGAAGGATTTGCTGTTAACTCTTCCTGATCTATAAACGTTCAACGAAGCTATTAGCCAAGTTGTGAAGTGCGACAACTGCCTATTCCAACGCCGCCAAGACCAACGTTCAAAACAACATACGGTTCGCCACGCCCCAACTATGTCAGCAAACAGCGTGAATTCACATTTAGAGGTAGAGGACATGCAAATTGATGCGGTACGTGTCAAATCCCTTACTCTAGAAGAAAAGAAGCGGCGTATGGAGAAAGTGTCACGGCCATAATCATGTAAGCTAATAATTACATATAGAAATAGGTAGAAGTAAGTAAAAATAGATAAAAGTAAGTTAATTATATAATATTTAATATAGAAGCTTCTTAGAAACTTCCTAGACGCTGCTTTGACTTCATAGGTGTCTTTAATTGACTTTTTGGATTAAAAACGTGGTCAACAAGTTGGCCATGTGCCACACATGTTGTTAGCTTGAAGATCAAGCTAACTATGTGGCCCACACGTAGAAAAACTTGCCTTGTAAGTCAAGGCATGTGTCCTACAAAGTCAACACATATTGGAGGTCCTATAGAACGTCGCCACGTAGCCCCTAGTTAGATAGTATATATAGAGACAAGAGTGAAGGCTTCTTCACTCTTGTCAACTCCTTTCTTGCTTCTAGTCCAGGTTCAAGAGTCTTTAGTTTCTTGTCTTGTGGCAATAGCCATTCCAGTTTCCTTTTAATATACCTACTTGTTTATATTTTGACTTATTATATCGAGATAGCCTTTTGGTGTATATTTTTCCTCATCGAGTCTTTGTCCTTGACAGATTAACAAGAGTACACTTACAATATCAGAGCTTTGTTTTTTCTTGAGTAAGAGTGGATTACCCCTTTCTCTTGACAAGACATAAGCGTATTAGAAGTTTGCGGATTACCCACTTCTAAACTGATATTGTTCTTAGTATCTTCTTTGTTATCAAGTCTTTCTTTTCTTTTGTCTTGAGCAATATCAAACAAATTTTTCTTCTTAGTGTCATTATGGCAGAACTTGTTGAAATGAAGAGTGCAATGGCACAAATGCAAGAGCAAATGAGGGAGTTAATGCTTGCGATGCATCAACTCAATTCACCAACACATGAAAGAACAAGAATAGCAGAAAGTGGAGATATAGAGATGATCGGAGCTGCTTCAACATCTACAATAAATCACATT